TATAATAATGAGAATGGAGCATTGAGCTAAGCAAGAAAGAATAACAGATTACTAAACTCTTATATACAGGAATTTACAAACTAAAATGTATAAATGAAATTGTAAATTACCCAGTCCTTATCTGAAATGCTAAAGTAGCTTTCTTTTACCTTCAGTCTGTCTTGGGACCTGGAAATGATATCACTAGCAGTCAAAGCCCCCAGCTTGACCTGCTGTTCCTTACTTGAGAGGGAAAAAATGAGCTTTAAACTAGTCCTTCAGGCCATTGCTGTACATGCCTGGGAATTTGCTTCCAGTCCAAGCAGAGGATCAACCAGCAAAAGTTTTAGAATAGGAATCCTGTAAATTTAATTGGCAACAATATACAGTAAAAGCTGTTTTATCCAGCACATCACCAACCAGAAAGCTCTATAAACTGGCATTTCTGATCATCTTTGAAATTCTGGTTTATTGTCTGGTTGGTGCAGGGCTGGCAAGGGGTTGGGGTGCGGGAGCGGATGTGGCACATGGGTTCTGGAAGGGAGTTTCAGTGCAGGAGGAGGGTGGGGGCAGCAGGTTGGGGTGTGCGGTGCTGGATCTGGGGGGCTCTCACCTCAGGCGGCTCCTAGGCGGAGGCTCGGCAGGTGGCTCTGCGCGCTGTCTGCGCCTGCAGGCACTGCTCCTACAGCTTCCATTGGCTGTGATTCCCAGCCAGTAGAAGCTGTGGAGCTAGCGAGCGGGGCAGAGGCAGCGCGCGGAGCCACCTGCCACGCCTCCACCTAGGACCAGCCGGGATAGGTTGCCTCTTGCAGGGTGCCGCCCGAGGTGAGCACCTCCTGGATCCGGCACTTTGCAACCCAACCTGCTGCCCTGAGCGGCCCCCCCTCCCATCCAAACACTCTCCCAGAGCCCATGCTCCACACCCTCTCCCATGCGCCAGCCCCACATCCCCTCCCGCACCCACACTCCCACCCTCTTAGTTAACTGGTATTTTTCACTTACTGGCACTCCCCATTCTCCCAACATGCTGGATAAAACAGTTTTTACTGTAATTACCGCTGATATGTGGTCATCAAATGTTTTGCCATTACTACATTTTTTTCGATTCCACTTTCAGTGGTTGATCTTTAGCAAACAGAATACAACCTATTGTGTTAAATTAAAATGTTCCTTGGATGTTGAGAGTGTAGAATAAAACAAACCTTCGTAGTATTGAACATGTATGGCTAGCTACTGAAGATGCGTAGCTCTTTAATGTTGCTGAATTTGATGCTGCTATTGTTTTTAAGATTAACTGAACCTAGTGCCTTGATTTAATCAATCAGATGTGCTTAAAACCTTTGCAGGAAACCTTAACAGATCAAACATCTGTGAAAAGCATGTGGCTTTTATTGTCTGAGAATGGCTCAAATGCATGTATTTACCCACATTGAACATTTTTGCACTTGGGAATTCTAATGTCTCCTTTGATGAGGATAAGTGCTTTTAATGAAGCTGTGAGGCCAAGGCATGAGAAACATGAAGGAAAATCTGTGCACAAAGAAAAACAGATCTTTAAAATTGTAAATAAAGACAAGCAAAAATTAGAGAATGAGACTGGAATAGACAAGATTATGTTTACTCATTTAGGAGTAATATAAATATTGACATTCTAAAGGTTATATAGTTTGTTCCCTGCTAATTTCCACACAAACATTGTATCACATTGCTAGATAATACTAGAGGCATTACTATGCAATAAGAAATCTGACTGAGCAAGGCTGGGACTATGTGGGAACCAGTAAAAAGATGCAATAATAGACTTTTTCATAGTCTGTTTTATTTATGGCACCATGTTTGTATTAAATACATACCATGAATATTCTTGAGCTTTAGCATTCAAAAAAGCAGGATTTTCAAGCGATACAATTTTTTTTAGCAAGTCACAAACAAACGCAACCTTTTTTTTAAAAAAAAAGTCATTAAAGCCACTGCTCAGCATGGAACAAAAGAAGTCAGTGGAACAAATAATATCCATATCCTGCCTGTCCTCAATTTTCAGATGAGAAATGTTGGGTTTACAAATTTCCCACAAGGAATGTGACCCTTTTAGAGCAAGTGTGCTTTGTTTGAAGATGCTAACACACACTAAGATCAAATGGTCTAGACTTGAACTCTATTTTCTTATCACGTTGAGAATTTTCATATTGACCCATAAAACTCATAGAGGCTTTTTTAAGAAGGCAAACAAATTGAAGAACAGTGCATGCAAAAATAAAGGCAAACTAAAAGTGTCATGTTAGCCATTGTTTTGAACAAAAATTAACTGAAGTGTTTGACACAATTTCAGTAAAAGGGGTTTATGTACAAAAGGAATCTATTTTTGAAGACTGGGTGGAAGGAGGATGTCGATAACTGCATAAAATCAAAGAATGAACTGAGAGACGTGACGAACTAAAAAATGCCTGTTTCATTAGGAAGCTTGAGCTTCCTGTAAGCTTATTTCTGAGATTTGTTTAAAGATTTCCACATAGATGAGAGAGTAGTGGTAAAAATATTTTGATTTCATGGTGTAATTTTGACAAACATGACATCTCACGTGAAACTTTCCACATTCACAAAAAACTTTGTGGAACTTGTGTATTCTCTTTTTAAAAACCTGTATATCCATAAAAATTGACACATTTGCAGAAGGTTGGAATGGGCTTTACTATTCACACCATACTTCTTCAGGTGCTTGGACTGACTTGCGTTTAAGCCATTTTATTCTATTTTTGTGAGTGGGAGAGTCACAGGGCGAGCTTGCGTCACAGTTCACTTTGCTCCTATGACAAGAACTAGAAAAGCAGGTCTTTTATACCTTGCATGCATTGCTAGCAGCCACAGAAATCCTGTGTTTTGGGAGAGTCCACATCACAGGAGTGAGCTGATCTTTGGCCCTCTTAAAGGATCAGTTTCATTCTGTGACAGGACTGCTGCATTTTGTGTATCTGAGCCAGTTGAAGGGTCAGGGGAAAACACTGGTGGTGACTAGTCCAGTATTTGACATTCTAAATACTACAGGAACTGAGGGGTATACCTGGGAATCTACTTTTTTGCTGTCCTTGAATTAGTAAGTTTTGCTGTTTAGTATAGTCTTACCATGAAAACACAGTCCCCGAGAGGAGAACTCTTTAGAACCAAAAAAAAAAAGAGTTGGAGCAGCAGCAGCTCTATGTTAAGAGTCATTTCTTCAGAAGAAGCCCCACTGTCCATGTGCTAGAGCTAGGTGCAGGAGGGCCAGTCGCAAAGTATGATATAACTGCCTCAGCTACCTGTCATACCAAGGCACTCCTAATGAACAATGTTAATGTACCTAACCTAACCTTCTGTACCAAGCTACTGCTGTTGCTGTTTAGATTTCTGTCTTCTCGTTGCTGATATTCTAAGGCCAGTCAGTGGCAGCATGGCAGACTAGGCATGATCATTTCTAGCTTTGGAAGGGTCTGTGTGCCATGCATAGGTTAGTTTCTTTTAAGTTTAGACAAACAGTGGGATCTTACTTGGTGAAAAGGTTGGGTGTGTTTAATCTTGCTGTGGGTTTCAGTGTTGTCTTGCATACAGTTTGCCTGCTCTCAACTGAATGCTTACTTGTTTTCAGAGTGACAATGAAGCTCTGTCTCCTTCCTAGCCTAAATTTGTTTATACCCACCCCTTTCGTTAGTTAGTATCAAGTTTACAAAAAAGCTCTTTCAGTTTACCAGATTTTCACTTGCTGACTTGGGGAGATGTCTTGTTGGGGGATTATCTTCTCCATCCTGTAGGCTGTTTGTTGCTCTGACACTGCAAGTCCCTCCTGTGTCAGCTTTATTGGGGGTAGCAATATGTATGCGGACAGAGGTCAGGGGAGGGGAATATCCAACTTCAGCTTTGAGCAGGACACGTGTGCAAGTTAAGAAAATTGCATATGCCACTTCAGTCTAATGCACAAGTTGTGGAGGGCAACAGGGGAGTTGGTGTCAATCACTCAATTCTCCTCTAGATTAATGGCCTCTGAAATTTGGGTCAACATAATGCATGTGGCGGCATAGGAATAGATTTGCTCTCACATGCTGCTTTGCATATATCTTGAATTTAACTATGTAGGAATGCCATGATAAACATTGAAGCATGGACTGCTGTGTCTGTAACTGTCACAAACTTGAAAGCTTGAGTGAATCTACCTCTTAACATCTTTATAGGCTTTGCTATAGCTCAGGGGTAGGCAACCTATGGCACATGTGCCGAAGGCGGCATGTGAGCTGATTTTCAGTGGCACTCACACTGCCTGGGTCCTGGCCACCGGTCCGGGGGGGCTCTGCATTTTAATTTGATTTTAAATGAAGCTTCTTAAACACTTTAAAAACCTTATTTACTTTACATACAACAATAATTTAGTTATATATTGTAGACTTATAGAAAAAGACCTTCTAAAAACGTTAAAATGTATTACTGGCACGCAAAACCTTAAATTAGAGTGAATAAATGAAGACTTGGCACACCACTTCTGAAAGGTTGCCGACCCCTGCTATAGCTGAAATTCCATGGAAAGTGACACTTTATGGGGTATACATTTTTCATTTTATTTCAGATGATGAATTTCAAACTTTTTGCAAAAAGTCACTTGCACACAGCTGCTAGGCTTATATCATGCTGCATGACTGTCTTCAACAAAGCAGCCAAACTTTGTCCCCAGATTCTGCAATCAATATTGACTTATTCCTAACTACACTTCCAGTGCTGTGCAAGGTATCTTTGCAGCATTGTGGTATACATTGTACAGACTAGAAGGTGCACTGGCATTGTACATGGTGTGTTTATTATCTGAAATAGTTGCATTTACAAATATCTCACTTAAGAGAGTAGATTGTAAAAAGATACAAGAGATGGTGGTCCATCATGTATATAGTCTCCAAGAACGCCAACAGAAAAGTGCATTCTGTAGATCACTGAAATGTAGAACTGTATCTGTGTGTATGTAAAATATAAAATGCCTAATATTGAAATGCAATTTTGTTGTTTAGTGGCTCTTGGAACCTCAATGATTAACAAGTGTTTGGAAAAGCATGATTCGCAACCAGTCCTGGATATATTGCAGTCTCCTAAGTTTGGTGTAAGAGTTGTTCCAGAATGTGCTGAAACTTATTACAAGAACCTTTTAGAAGCCAAGAATTTAAAAACCAAAGAAGGTAAAACCAAATCTCTGCAGTACTGTAAAGGTATTGAAGGATTAGTGCAAAATGTTTATATATAGTGCAATTGTATATAAATGTTTGTGTTTATATATTGTAACTTTAATTCTCTCTGTAAATTAAGGGAGAGTTGGAGGAAACTTTGAGATTTTTTTCCCCCCTCTGATTTGTCAAAGGCTGTCTCAATCTCCAGTTTTGAATTTTAAGGTTTCTCTTAGCACAGGGGTTCTCAAACTGGGGGTCGGGACCCCTCAGGGGGTCGCAAGGTTATTACATGGGAGGGTTGCAAGCTGTCAACCTCCACCCCAAGCCCCGCTTTGCTGCCAACATTTAAAATGGTGTTAAATGTATAAAGTGTTTTTAAGTTATGGAGGGGGGGGGTTGCACCCAGAGGCTTGCTATGTGAAAGGGGTCACCAGTACAATCGTTTGAGAACTACTGTTGCACTTATTTATACTAGGAAACTTAATCATAAATGCATTATCTAACACAATGTTAAATGCTCACTGCTAAATTCTGTGCTATGCCTTGCTCTGAGCACAGCACAGAAGATTGAGGGGAGCATACATGGCTTAAGCCATCTCTCCATCTCCCAAATTTTGGTCTTGGCTGGGGCCAAAGCATTCTCAGGGGCTGCTCTAATTTATGGCAGCTTCTCCGTAGCTGCCTATAGGCTACTCCACAGCCCAGAATAGCCACAGTATGGAGCCCAACAGCTCTACTCCCTTTTCCAGCCCCAGCACAACCTTACACCGTCAACTGCGAGGTCAGCTCTATGCTGCTCCCATGTTGGGTGAACTCCTAAGGCCATTGCAGCCCATTTTATGGCCCCTATGCAATACCAGAGCACTGTACAGGAGCTGCAGCTGGGGTCAGAATCTGGCTCTCAGCGTAAAGGAGGACTAATGTTTTAAAGTAATGTCAGCAAGTCCTGGGTATTCATGTTAGCCATGACCAGCTGATGGTTTTAAATAAGAAACAGTCTTTTATTCTGCATTGAGTTGACACAATGTTAAACGAGACTTACCAACATATTAACATGTTGTGTAACAAAGCCTTTTTCCAGCATAGACATGCTTATTTCAGCATATAAGACAATTTATGGGTGGTATTTTGTATAGTTGTCTTCCGCCTCACATTTCCCTTGTACTCCTGAGAGAATTCTGTACCAAAAAAATTAAAATTCTGCACACACTATTTTCAAATTCTTCAAATTTTATTTGTCAATAAATAAACGTGGAGGCTCCAGGATGGCAGTGGGGAGCACAGGCTGTGCGGAGGTGAGAGATCACCCTGCAGCCCCCCACCAGCCGTCCAGGTCATGGATGCAGTGGTGAGGCTGCACCCAACCCTGACACAGCCTAACCCAGAAATACTCTGGGGCCCTGCCCCTCTGCACCAGGCACACCCGGTAGGAGCAGGCAGGCTCAATCTGGCAGGATCCAAGTGTGGAGGGGCTTTGTGCGGGGTGGATCCTGGTGTGGGGAGAGAGGGTTCTGTGTGGGACAATCTGGGTGTGGGCAACTCAGTGGGGGATCTGGATGCATGGGCTCATTAGGGGTGTTCCCTGTGCAGGGGCAATGGGACTCTGCAGGGGGTCCAGGTGAAGGGATGGTGGGTGGGTCTTGATGTGTAGGGGGGGCTAAATAGGAGGGTCTGGGTGCTGGGGGAGTGGGGTTTGGTGGGGTGGGTGTCTGGGTACAGCTGGTTAGGGTGCCATGGGGCAGGGGTGCCAGAATAATTTGTATAGAGGGGGTGCTGAGAGCCGATGAAGCAAACTGTAAACCCTGTATATGATGGAAACCACTTCAAGCCAGGGAGTGCAGCAGCAACCCCAGCACCCCTAGTTCCAGCACCTATACTGTGGGGTGGGATTCTGGGTGTCGGGAGCTTATTGGGATGGCACAGAATTTCCCCAGGAGTAACCTTGGCACAGTCCATAGGGAAACTTACTCAAGACTCTTCCTGTCTCTCTCGGCATGTAGTCTTATTTTTGTGTTTACCAAAACTGATGGTGCTCAGAAGAATGATAACCTGCATGCCCTGTGGTGTATATTATGACTCTATAAGGTCCAACCTATACCTGAGATGCTGCAAAAGCTTCCAGTCATTGCTAATACTGCTTCATCTCCACCAGTGTTAGCAATGGTAGAAGCCTTAGTATATAGACTGACTGCTGCCAGCATTTTAAGTACCATGTTGACTAGGTCAACTCTGAGTGGAGCTGGTTAACACAGTTCTTGAAAATGCCCATTCCAGCCAGTGGCCAGTCTCTACTATGTTCCTCACTGTTGTCCACACCATTGGAACTGAGCCATTGTTAATATAGCAGGATATTTTTGCAAAATTTTCCTAGTTTAGGGTAGATCAATATTTGTGCTAACTTTCATATATGTAAAATAATTGAAAACATTCTTTGGCAGGGAGGGGAAGGGGAGACAACCTTTTATAAATGTATTAAGGCTCCTAAATGTACACTAACAGTGTACATATATTGCTTTTAGATTCTAGTGAAGGTCCATGGCTCAAACTTATAATGAAGAACAGATATGATTATTATTATAATGTGGAAACTGGAGAAAGTACCTTTGTTCCTCCTGAAGGGTTCATACCAAAAACTTCTTGGCTAACCAGTGAAGAAATACAGGTAGAGTGCTAACATGTTCAAAATGACTGCATACAACTGCAACATAAACACAGAAGTGACTGGTTTAACACTGTTGGATACAAAAGAAGTGGTTATGTTAAGATTTTTAGGGCCTTAAAAGTACAAGGGAAAAGAGAGAGAATTCTCTAATTGGACTTTGGTTTAGGCTGTTCATTTTCCCAAATACAGTAGAACTTAATCTGTTTATTTAATCAGACCCTTAGAAGGGGGCTGACAACTCAGATATAGTATAAAGCACCTCACTTTGGCCCATATTATACAATCATAAGTACCCTTAAATCTGCTTTTGAATAATCTTCCAAGTCTATATAATCATGCTCAGTCAGTTATAGTACTGTGGCATATTGTACTCTCCATAGGCCCCCAAATAAGGAGAGCCCTTAACCACATCCATAAAGAATTTCTTGAATCAAGCACCACTTTTAAGCAGGCCTATGCTGTGGGTTCAGTCATTGATGTTGCTACCCTGATGTGCTGTTGCATGTTACTAGACTGCATTTAGCTGCGCCTGTGCAAACCACTACTGTACATGTGCTACTCCACTGCAAAAAGTGACTTGCTCCAATGCGGCTTACCCAGTAAAAAGTGGCTTGCAAGTTGCACTGAAACACTGATGAAGTGAATCCACGGTAAGGGTTTGAACTGGTTCAGCTAGATCAGTGGTTAAAATCCCAATGTAGATAAACATGTAGGCAGTTCCAAAATTGTGCAGCAAGATTCTTCACATCCTGACTGGTTTCAGAAGAATTTTTTTTCACATCATTCTGAAACTTAGAAATCCTAAAATAAGCATTTTCACACAGATGTATGGGTTCCATTATTAGACTCCTGGCTTCTCACTCTTGAGTTAGTAGGGGTTGGTAGTATTGCAAAAGCAAAGACCTCTGCCCCCCAGTATGAAAAGCTTTGTAAGGGCTAAAACCAGTCCTTTCAGCTTATTGATGATGTGGTCTGAAGGGAGTTCAGTCCTCCTTTAAACAAATGATGGTAATAACATTGTGGTTCTCAGTTTTGTGAGTGGTTAAAAATGTGGGGAGTAAATTGAAAGGGTTTTCATAATGGGTGTGGATGGAGAGAATGGAATCCAGACTCTGAAATGGTTTGCCTTCATCTTTGCTTCATTGTTTATTAAACACTTTTTACATGATCTCTTACCAGACTATTGTTGGGCAAGTTACAGCAGATTACAATCGAGAGCAGCTGTGGTTTGCTAATGAAAACCTGATTCTTCAGCTGCAAGCCCTAGCAAGGGGATTCCTAGTCAGAAAAAGTTATGAGGAGAGAAAAGGATTCCTCCAAAAACAGGAACCATCTGTGATCAAAATACAGGTATTGTTGTGTAATATAAAGACATGGTCACTTCTTCTGGGTGTTGGTAGCTTTTTACATGTGACACTGTATGACCTTTGGCAGGGGTGAAAGTAAGTTCAGTGACTTACCGGTACGCTGGGGCCAGCTCTGGCCCCCGGAAGGGGCGGGGCCTACGGCAGAAGGGGTGGGGCTGAGTAAGTCAGAGCCAGCCCCAGTCCACCCTGTAAGGTAAGTGGCCCCCCCCCACTGTGGTAGCAGCAGCAGCCCGGGGCTCCTGGGGCTATTTAAAGGGCCCGTGGGTCCCCTGCTTCTACTGCCCCAGCCCTTTAAATAGCTGCAGGACCCCTGGGGAAGTGGCAGGGCTCCTGCAGCTATTTAAAGGACAGGGATGGCAGAGGCAGCTGGAGCCCCGAGCCCTTTTAAATAGCCCCTGGAGCCCCCTGCTAACCCTGGGCTCTGGGGGCTATTTAAAGGGCCTGTGGCTCCCCTGCTTCTACCGCCCCGGCCCTTTAAATAGCCGCCGGAGCCCTGGAGTAGTGGCGGTGGGGCTCCGGTGGCTATTTAAAGGGCCGGGGCGATAGAAGCAGCGGGAGCCCCAGACTTTTTAAATAGCCCCCAGAGCCCCGCAGCCCTACCCCAGGGCTCCAGCAGTGGGGCTCTGGTAGCAATTTAAAGGGCCTGGGGCTCCAGTCCCTGCTGGGAGCCCGAGGCCCTTTAAATTGCCCCCTGGGGAAGCCGGGCCGCCCCGGTATGGCAAACTAGCTCTTGCCGGTACGCCATACCGGGGCGTACTGGCTTACTGTCACCTCTGACCTTTTGGGTCTGTTTTATCTTCCTGCCTTCTTTTGCAGAAAGGACTTCTTGTGGCATTTGTTATTTACAGAACTGAATTGTTGTACAAACACAGGTCCGTGCGCTCATTGAAAGAAATGACAAAACTCCAGTTTACAATTGCTATAGATCATGTATAACTGTAGTATTTAACAGGCCAGTTGGAGAAGCCCAGTGATTCTTACCACTAGCTTCTTCCTGAGCACGGCTTCGATGTTTAAATGGGAGTGTGAGAAAAGAGTAGGAGGATGGAAGGTAATTGAAGCTCTAGTTCTCTGCCAAAGCATGTTCACTCAAGAAATGCATTCCTTTCTCTGCTCTCCCCAGTCAGAAGCCATTTGCTTCCGCTTTACGAAGCGAATGCTCGTATAACTGAATAGGGAGAGGCAACATTAACAACTTTGCCTGATTCCAAGAGTCTTACTTGGATTTGCTCAGTGCTCAGTACTCTGAAAGGAGTACAAAGGAAACTTACTTTTTGGTTTTTACAGACCATATCATGCACATCTGCTATACAGACCCAGTACAAAAAATTGCGAGCTCTTTGGGGAGGAATCCTCCAAGACCAGATTCAGCAAGTATGTGTAGCTATCCTCAGAAACTAGATGTAGGAAATGGTAATAAAACATGTGTTTACACAAGCCACATAAGATAAATGTTGCAAGTCCCCACTGGCTATATCCCTAGCCAGATGTCAACTTCCTGCGGGCATCCCAATAAAATTGGCTATTGGAGTATTAGGGGAAGTGAAGTCCAAATGGCTTGTGAGAGAAGCAGACAGGCGAATGATAGAGGTTGGTAACATTGGTAAAACAGGCAACACAATAAGATGAGTTGGTAAGGGGGGGGATAGAGATGGGATAGAGAACTGGGAGCCAGATGAAAAAATTTGAGGGTGGTGTGATGAGAAAAGGCAAGAAGAACTTAGCTGGATTTTGAATGGGCCTGAGAGGCTGACAATGGATGCCAGGAAGGCGAGAAAGGGAAGGAGGTTGCAGTAGTCGAGACTGGTGATGAAGGGGGCCTGGACAAAGTTATACCAGTATAGACAGAGGATAGGGTAGTTCTGTGACACCATGGAACAAGAGGAGACAAGATTTGGAAACTGCCTGGAGGTGCAGGCTTAGAGTCTGAAATCAAAAATGGCATGCAGAGCACTGGACTGAGAGGTTCCAGGCCTGAGTGACACTGAGGCTGACATCCTGGAACAGGAATGGAGTGGTGGACTTACGAGTCATCAGCATAGAGGTGACTGTTGATGCCACAGGAGTGGATGAGGGCTTGTAAAAGGGTGTAAAGGACGGATGTGCCTCAGTCACATTTTCTCGTCACTTTTAAATTGAACAGCAATTTCTGTGGAACAAGATCTATAAACTTGTGTATGCATAGTGAAACTAATGGTCACACTACTAACCTGCTTTTTAAAATAGGCTTCCTGGAAGGGATATAAACAAAGGAAAAGCTACACTGACAGGTTGCGGGTGCTTCAAGGCAATGTTGCTGCTATCGTCAAGGTAAACTTCCATCTATGATGAGCGGAATTAAGGTTTGCTCTATGGATAATGATGTTTCCTCATTGTTGGGGGGAATCCAAACACTTGAAAGCCCAAGGAATCTAGGGATAGGGGCTGCTGCAGTAAAACTGCAAGTGTTCCTATTCTGCTGGGCGTTACATGGAAGGCTCAAAGTTCTGACGGCAGCTAGTAATCCAAGAAAACTGCTCTTTGAGTGATTAGTACCGTGAGTCTTCCATTAAAAGCCAGAGGCTGTCAAGTATGATTATTTGCAAAATGTGTTCTATCAGTTTATGAAATGCTGGTGGTGGTAATAGAAATGATACTTAGCTCTTATATAGTGTGTTTGATCTGATCCCAAAGTGCGGTACAAAGGAGGTCATGTCATTATCTCCATTTTATATCCTGGGAAACGAAGGCTCAGAGAGATGAATGTGACTTGGCCAAGGTCACCCAACAGAGCCAGGAATCAAACCGAAGTCTCCTGAGTCCCAGTCCCACTGGCTAGTCCAGTGTTCTGACTATTAGATCACAGAGCCCAATCATCCCGTCAGCTGTGCATGTGACTCCATTGACTTTGCTCAAGTTGTGTGCTATGCAACTGATGGGTCAGTCAAGCATCTAACCTCGTTTTTTAAAAGAGACAAGTAAAATTAGAGTTGTTCTTAGTTCTCCTACAATTCCTCTTAAGTTTTTATTTGACTTTTAGATTCAGTCATGGGTCAAAATGTGGCTAGCGAGGAAGGCTTACAAGAAACGGCTGCAGTATTTCAAGGATCACGTAAGGCATTTCTCCACCCCACCCCCTTTTGAGGAGAGAACTAATGTAGTAGTAATGCATGTATTTCTTGAAATTACAGATACTGTAGGTTCCCCATATGTCTCTTAACAGAATACATTATAACTGTGAAGACATTAAAACTTTTTCTAATTATACCAGTGTTCGGTAGTTGTCTATAGTATTCTTCATTATCTCTCTTCATAGAACATGACCTGTTGTTGGAGGTTTCCTGTTCAATGCTTTCTAAAGTGTTTAGTGTTGGTCTTTTCCAGAATGAAGAAATTGTGAAAATACAAGCATTTCTTAGGGCAAACAAAGCTAGGGATGACTACAGAACACTAAGTAAGTGCTGGTGATAAACATTTGAGTGTAAATTGGTGGGGAAACACTTAATTTTTAGGATAAGAGTGTTCAGTTGTGATTTCTAATACTTGAGTCTGGCATTTTTGGCTCTTCAGAAGCAGTTAAGTGAAATCGTGATACAAACATTTGTTAAATGGTTAATACATTGACATAGAACTACTACACACAGTTCTGGTTACACAAAATATTCTTCTACTCTTGCTCTCAATGACATAAACTCCTTTCTGCAGTTTGGCATTCTGACCATAGATGTCACTATGTACAAAAGGTACAAAAGAATTTTAAACATTGATGTTTATAAATTTAAAGGTATTCTGTGTCCGTGGATGTCAGACCAAGCAAATAAAATATCTAATAAGCTCATTTACCTTAACTGCAGTTGGTGCTGAAAATCCACCCTTGAACGTCTTGCGTAAATTTGCTTACCTCCTGGACCAAAGTGACTTAGACTTTCAGGAAGAACTAGAAGTAACAAGGTTAAGGGAGGAGGTGGTTACAAAAATCCGATCCAATCAACAGCTGGAGAAAGACTTGAACTTGATGGATATAAAGATTGGGCTACTGGTGAAGAACAGGATCTCTCTACAGGTCAGCAGGCTTTGTTTAAACTATTTCTATAGAATGCACTAAAGGCAGTGGAGGTTTGTGTGCTGAAGGAATGCAGGATCAGTTAGGATGTTTCTGGGGAGTGAAGCAGTTGCCTTTTTACTTGTTTAGTGTATGCCAAGAAAAACCACAGTCAATACAACCTATGTAAGAAGTAGCTGTACTGTAGAAAGAGCTTTTGGTGAGAATTGACCTAGGAATGGTCTCAAATCATTGAGGACTGCTGTTCTTTGGAATAGTTAATGGCACACGGTCATTTCTTTCTATTCTTCCACTTTATTGCCCGCCAGTTAGCTTTTCTTAAAGTATCAGTGGCTCAATGGGGAGCAAAAGTAGGAGTTGTATAGTTCCTGGTACCATGTTACTTCACATCTCACTGAATACCAGGTGTTTTTATTATGATAGACATGGGCAGCAGTAATACCCAAAAGCATGAGGTCATTCTTTGTGGTTTTTAAGCAGCTTTCTAACAATAGAACAAATCTGACTTCCAATTTTAAAACTCATTGTAAAGAGTTTGCTCTTGTTAGTTGTCAAAAAGCCTGTATGTGAGCTTGAGGTACCCTGACAATTATCATTTAGTCCACACTGAAATTCCATCCATCAGTAAATTTTTCCCACTGTTTGGGAAGGGGATGCGATGATAAGATTACACTGGGTTGTTATTGGCATGCCAGAACTTATGTTTTGGAGCCAGGTTTGATTGAGCATGGGAGTTAAGGGTAGGGACTGTGTGTTTAGACAGTCTAATATATTTTTATTGTGAATTTTAACTGATGTAAGATGGCACTCAGAGCTTGATGTTTTGCCTTTTTATAAATCTAAATAAAACTCTCATCATGAGTAAAGTGATGTAGTGATGAACAATATTGTCTAGTTAATGTGCTATATTGGGTCTAAATATAAAAAGAGGTTGATATTATTAAAATCTTTTAATAAATAGACCAATGTAGAAACATCCTATTTAAGGTGGTTGAGAGATGGCAGTGTACCATATTGCTTTATATTTCTGTGTGACTGTATATAATGGCCCACTTGTGTCTGTAGGATGTGGTCCTGCACAGCAAGAAGCTAAACAAAAAAAGCAAAAATCAGGTGGAAGAGATGGTGACAGGTGACAAACAGGGCATCAAAGGCTTGAGCAAAGAGAGGAGAAAACAGCTGGAATCCTATCAACACCTGTTTTACCTTTTGCAAGTAAGTCTTAATGTGGGGATTAATTTGCCCCCAAATGGCTTGTGTTAAGCAAAACTTTAAAGTGTGCTCATTTCTTGTTCTAATGAGAATGAGGAGGAGAGATTTCTTTGCAGATGTAGTGTACAGTAAATACAGTTACTACAGACCACAGCTGAGCACAGTCAGCAAGTTTTGTTCGCTGGATGATTGATTTTAAACGGGCTTGACAATTAATACTGCATAGTTTAAATTTGTTTCTCTAATAGAAAACAGCTCTATTGGCCTTAAATTGTGCAAGAGATAATTTGTTGCTGTTCCCTTCCTTGAAATTATTTTAAATTCCCAACTCTTTTAGGCTTGCAACTGTCTGCAGTAATATGAGCCTGATTGGTTTTATGTCTCTTCCTTTTCTCCCTCCACCCCCGTCCTGTCAAGTCAGTTTGGATGCATAGTTCAAATCTGAGCAGGAAAAATCATTTTCTTCCACATTATCTTTCAAGTTTAAAAATACTGAAATTACTTTGTGTGTATTGTGTGTAGGGGAAAAAAGCTACTGCATGATTGACATTTTATTATGTAATGTGTCTATTTTTGTTTATTTGTCCTCTATCGGTCTGAATTTGGGTAAGTTTCTTTAGAAGACTTATTTGTCCAGGGAAAGATTGTTTCCCTCCCCCAATTTCGTTTGTGGGGGAGGGGAGGGGTGTATGGCTCCCTCCCCCCGCCCCCAGTGTATTTTTAACTCAAAGGAAGTTAAGTTTAGGTGTTAAACACCTTTTTTGATGGTGAAATGGCAATATCAAAGTATGGATGTCCCAAAAAACCAGATTTAAGATTTCTAAAATCCGATAACCTTGTAAAGTAAAACTTGTGTACCTTTTATTCCAAGTGACATCAATGTAGATATCGTTTATGTATTATTAGCACATTACATACAATGAAACTTTAGCAGACATGGACATGTGAATGTTCGAATTACCTACAATAGATCCTCAAAGTTAAGAACACCAGAGTTATAAACTGACCAGTTAACTACACACCTCATTTGGAACCAGAAATACACAATCAGGCAGCAGCAGAGATAAAAAAAAAAAGACAAATACAGTATGGTACTGTGTTAAACATGAACTAACTTTTTTTTTAAAAAAAAAAAAAGGGAAAGCAGTATTTTTCTTCTGCATGGTAAAGTTACAACTGAACATTGACTTAATACACCTTTGAAAACTTTTGAAAGAACAACCGCACTGTTTTGTTCAGAGTTACAAACATTTCAGAGTTACGAACAACTTCCATTCCCAAGGTGTTTAACTCTGAGGTCCTACTGTAAATGTATATTTCAGGTAGGTTATGTGTTTTTTAAACTTGTATCATAAGGACTAGTGATAAATATTTAGTACTGGCTTCACTTGGCTTTCCATTTGTGGAGATAGTGCATAGAGTACAGAACTTAGGGAGGTAGTCATTAAAATACTTACAATTGTCATTTGCAAGTTACAACCACACCTCTACCCCGATATAACACGAATTCGGATATAATGCAGTAAAGCAGTGCTCCAGGGGGGCGGAGCTGCGCACTCCGGCAGATCAAAGCAAGTTCGATATAACGCGGTTTCACCTATAACGCGGTAAGATTTTTTTGGCTTCCGAGGACAGTGTTATATCGGGGTAGAGGTGTACCACCGTGGCATTCACGTTATTCCCCAGGTTTAGTGTTACAATAGCCTAATGCTCAGTATAGTGAATGCTGCATTAAAATTAGGCCAAAAGTGTAAATTTGAAGCTTTTAATAGTGACAGCTATGAGAAGGTATAGCCTTAACCATGCAAACATAACTTTCATTAGTATTAATGAAAGCTATACATGTCCATTCAAAGGTGAGCAGACTCCTTATGGCTTGTGCAGGTAGTGGGAAAACTTATCATTTTAGCAATATACAAATCACCCTCCATAATGTTTCTTTCCTAGACTAATCCCATGTATCTGGCTAAGCTGATTTTCCAGATGCCTCAGAACAAGTCAACAAAGTTCATGGATACAGTCATTTTTACTCTGTACAACTATGCTTCCAATCAGCGAGAAGAATACCTGCTTCTCAAGCTCTTTAAAACTGCTCTAGAAGAGGAGATAAAGTATGTACATTGACTAGAACCCCCCCCATTCCTCTGAAGATATCCTATCTGTTAGACTTTGAAATTTTCTTTGAACTGCATTCTTAAACTTGCTTTTCATTTGATGTCGAATCATATTTTTATTTGTCAGTGGGGAAATTAAAGTCTTATGTCAGTGGGACTTAATAATAAATTGACTGAGAAGGTTATAAATGTTTTATACCTTAGATTCAGGGAGGCTGTCTCTCTCTGGTAGAGAAGCAAAGTCTGCATAATCTTAGATTTTTGCGTAATCTTGAAGGTAAATACTTACATGTACTAAAAGTACAACTATTTTGGCTTCTTTGTTCCTGTTTTTAGTTTGAATATGCAGTTGAGTTTCAGAGCTTTTATTTTTCTTCACAATTGTAATTTGTAAATGTGTCATAGGCAGAGGGATCATCCTGTGATAGATTGTAATCAATAAATCCCATATTAACAAAACACTGAAGGCATGTGCTTAAATTGTTCCCAGAACTGGACCTGCTGTATATACTCGTTCATAAGCCAAATTTTTTAGTAAAAAAGGGAAGCATCAGAGAAGGGGGTCGGCTTATGAACAGGTATAGAGAGGGAGAGGTGCGACACGGCCCCTCCCCACAACAGAGGGAGCAAGGAAAGGCAGCAGAGCCAGAAGGGAAGAGGCAGAGCCAGTGTGTCTGCTTCTGGCCACGCTGCTCTCCCCACAGCCTCCAAAGCAGCTGCAACTCCGAGGTTGGCAGGCTGCAGCCACGCTGCCCGGCCCTGCCCGCCGGAGCGGGCTGCGGCCATGCCAGAGGCATCCTCCCCTTGCCTGCCCCAGCTAAGATGGAAAGGGATGGGATGGGGAGAGTCTGGGGGTCCCGGGCTAGGGATGGGGTCATGTGGGGGTGGTCACAGGGGTTACACCCCTGACCCCCAGCTTCTCCTCCCCATCCCAGATTTCCCCACCAGTTGTTGTCCCGGCCCGTCAGGGTAAGCCGCTGGCGGGCTGGGACACTTTCTTTACTTAGGTTTACCTCTATGCCTGCGGACGATCGAGAGAAACAAACTGTCTCGGCTCACCAGCGGCTTATCCTGATGGGCTGGGAGCCAAAGTTTGCTGACCCCTGAATTATAGGGTCGGCTTATGAATGGGTCATAAAATTTTTTTCCATTTTTACTTATCCATCTTGGGGGGGGTCGGCTTATAAACGAAGCGGCTTATGATCGAGTATATACGGTAAATCAGGTACTAATTGGAATTATTATGAATTCCTGTCAGTCATTATGTCAGGGCCACTTCTACATTTTAATCTTTATTACGTTTCATGGATTGGTGATTTATCTATAAAAGCTATTTCTGTTTTGATATAAAAATCCATAAATTGGAGGGTTACATTGATTTTTAATCAGTACAGAACAGGTTAGGAACTTGGCAATTTTTCTAACCTTTCAAAATTGTATATTTAAAAAAAACCTGGAAATTGCTTACAGTGCAGTTAAGGACTGTTTTGTTTTTAATGCAGTTCCAAAGTAGACCAGATACAGGATATAGTCACTGGAAACCCTACTGTCATTAAGATGGTTGTCAGCTTTAATCGAGGTGCTCGTGGACAGAACACGCTGCGTCAGCTGTTGGCCCCAGTGGTGAAGGAAATCATGGATGACAAATCCCTCCTCATCAACACCAGCCCCGTGGAAGTGTACAAGGCATGGGTAAACCAGTTGGAAATGCAGACTGGAGAGGCCAGGTAAGTGAGAAAATAGAATAGTTCATCTTCATTCTGTTAATATTTGAGTGATTCCTCACGTCAGATCCTTTTGTCATTTGCAAAAAGAAGAACAGGAGTACTTGTGGCACCTTAGAGACTAACAAATTTATTAGAGCATAAGCTTTCGTGGACTACAGCCCACTTCTTCGGATGCATTTGGTGAAGCTTTTTCTTCTCTTCCACAAGCAACCATGAAGATGCATTTGGGGTGTATGTTTGATATACTATAGTTCACTGTAATATAATGAGACTTAATGTATCTTTTTGCTGAGGTGTAATTCTTATTAGTACTGTTATTTTATAGCATAGTAGATTCCTCCATGAAGTAGCTTATAAACTTACGCCCAGAACCTGCAATCATATCTGCTAGCATGGACCCCAGTGCCATTACAGAACCTCATTGACTTCAACGGGGGTTTGCAATGGCGCAGAGAGCCAGTGCTTGCAGTTCTGACTGAAGGATTGGAACCCCAATGACGGACTAGCTTATTACACTTCTCTATCTTAAGTACCCCATCACTTTTAATATATGAGCACCTCACAACACCCCTTGAGGATTTTACACATGGGGAACTGAGGCACAGAGAGACTGATTTGCCCAAGGTCACAAGGGAAGTCTGTGACTGAGCAGGGAACTGAACCAGGTCTCCCAAGTTCTAAGCTAATGCCCTAATGTCTGGACTATCCTTCCTCTCAGCACACAAGCTAGTACACAAGAACCCTCACACTATAATAATAATAATAATAATTAATAATATAATAATATAGTAACTTCTCACTTAAGGTTGTCCCGGTTAACGTTGTTTTGTTAAGTTGCTGATCTATTAGGGAACAAGCTAATTTAAAGTTGCGCAATGCTCCCTTATAACATCGTTTGGAAGCTGCCTGCTTTGTCCACTGTTTGCAGGATTCTCTGGAAGAGCAGCCCCTCCTTGTGGGGATTAGAATCAGGGGGGTGGCAGCTCCCCTAAATTCCCAGTAAGGTATGTGGCTCGGCAGCTGCCCAGCAGCAGTTCAGCCGTTCCTCCCCCCAGAGCTGTGCTGCTCCTGGCCTTGGAGCTACTCCCTGGAGCTTCTTGCTTGGCAGGGGAGAGGGGTGCTGATATCAGGATGTCCCCCTGCTCCTGCCCCCTCTCTGTGCCCCCTCTCCAGCAGAAGAGAGGGACAGAAAGGAAGAAGCTTGCTGGAAGCTGTTGCATCCTGTCTGAAGTGGCATCTGCTTAAAAGGGCAATGTACTTGAAGTGGGGTCAGTGTACTTAAAGGGGCAATGCACGTCCGTGTGTCGCTCTCTCTGTCATGCATGCATCCCCCAGCACTTTGGAAAGTCAGCACCTGTGCAGCCATGCATGTGCTGTCAGGAGGAGGGAGTGGTGCGCTCCCGCTGGATAGCGTGGGTTCATCATGTTCAGTTTTTGCAGGGAAGAGTTTGCAGCTACTGCCCTGCATCTGTTATGTTTCCTCCTTCCTGCCTCAGTCCGTGCTGCCTTTTAGAGTGTGAGAGGCTACATTAATAACAGCGTATTATCCCTTCAGGGCTCAGCTGATTGTTAGTTCATCATTTAGCAGCAAGGCATTCCCTGGGAAATATTCCACCCACCTCAACCAAGCTTCACAATTATTCATTGATGTTACAATATTAAACTGTTCATTTAAAATTCTTTAAAACTTATACTGTATGTGTATATAATGTCTTTTGTCTGGCGAAAAAAATTTCCCTGGAACCTAACCCCCACCTCTCCTTTTACATTGATTCTTATGGGGAAATTGAATTCGCTTAACATAGTTTCGCATAAAGTCGCATTTTTCAGGAACACAACTACAACATTAAGTGAGGAGTTACTGTAGATGTTTTCCTCTTTGTATCTGGAAGAGGACAGTTCATATCGCTTCCATGGGTTTTTTTGTTTTGTTTTGTTTTGTTTTGTTTTGTTTTTTATTTATTTTAATTTTAATTTAAAAAAAATGAACTGATAATATTGGTGGGGGTTTTGTTTCTGTTAAAACCAATTCTTCAAGTGAATTTTTTTATTAAGTCACTTGATTTTATGTGTTCTCTGAAATATACATGAAATAAGTAGCTGAGACTGTATAGCATTAAACAAACTTAGTTTTTAATGAACGTTGTTTGTAATTTCATAGTACACAGTTTACTTTAGCCCAGTAAATACCTCTCTTGCGTTTGCAGTAAATTGCCGTACGATGTAACAACTGAACAAGCATTAGAACATCCGGAAGTGATAAATAGACTGGAGTCCTCCATTCAAAGCTTGAGAACAGTAACTGATAAAGTCCTTGTGTCCATATTCTCATCGCTCAGTATGATGCCGTAAGTGCCAAATTACAAGTCCCATAAATTCAGTTCATTTGTACAATAACATTTGATGCAGGATTCAGTATAAACAGCCATCTGTACTGCCTTGATATTATCTGTGATACATGTCTTTATAATAGCAATTCTCCAACAGAGGGAACAGTTCCTCTATATCACATATTCAAAATATGATATAAAACCTAGTGAGCATCTGTAATGTAAATCCTTATTTTTTTTTCATTATCATCTTGTTTTGTGTGTAAATGGTTAGTCTGTGAAAATGCAGTATCTTGATTGAATGGAATGATTCGTTTGTTTCATCTAAGTCTTTCCATTATTTTCCTTTTTCATCTGTTCTATATGTAGTTATGGAATGAGGTATATAGCCAAAGTTCTGAAGAATTCGCTCCATGAGAAATTCCCAGATGCAACTGAAGATGAACTATTAAAGGTAGATTTGTGAGGTGATCTGTCAGCAGCTTGTTCTTTCTGCTTATGCCAAAAGCAAGATTTATTGCATATCAGCTTTCTGCAGAATTGTTAACACTTGTATTTACAAAAGCAACAGAGAGTCCTGTGGCACCTTTAAGACTAACAGATGTATTGGAGCATAAGCTTTTGTGGGTGAATACCCACTTCGTCAGACGCATGACAGGACTCTGTTGCTTTTTACAGATCCAGACTAACACGGCTACCCCTCTGATACTCATATTTACAGAAACTTCTGGGGGTGAAGATGAAAGGAATTCCATGTGTTAATATGGCCTGCCTTGGAAAATGTTGCCGAGCATCTGTAGCACTTATAGAAGTCAATGGGCCAGTACCCTTGAAAATCCGCTCGGTGGTACTTTGTAGGAAGCTAGGAATATTTGATTGCATGATTTTGCTTCAATACTTATCTTCCATGAAGAATATGACTCTGGTTTTTCAATTTTAACTCTGCTAAAGTGAAATTACTTCAAATGTTTTTTAATACTATAAATACAATTGGGCAGAGTTATGAGAGCAAACGGTGAATTAATCCATCCACTACACTTGTTTAAGATGCTTATAAATGTTGTGGGAATGTGACATTTGTCTAGACTGGAGCGTGTGTGCTGTCAAGTGATGCAGAATGTTCCTGGCGCAGTGCCCTTCCCTTAATCTGTCAGAACCATTGTATTCTGCAGAAGGCAATGTGAAGTCATTCTGTGTGCCTGCCACATAACTACAGGGCTTACATCTTGCTTTAATTAGATATATTTGCATCTCAGTACAGTTGCCAATATCCGTGTTGCATTTTAAAAAATTGAATTGCAATGGATCCAGAATTACTTTGAGGATTTTTTTTTAGTATCCTTCAAAAGACATTATTTTTGTGTTACAATTCTTGTCTGGAGCCATTTTGAGAATTTTAATCTCCGCAGCGAAGTTTATTCTGCTTTTATGTAATAATAAACAATACAGCTAATATTGTTTACAATAAACACTGTTTACAAGAATTTCTTTGATGCCCATCACCACAGTGCCTGGGGATCACTATAAATTTACATCATTTTAAAACTTCTCTGACAACTACCCTTAAATGGGTAGTGAACTGATTCCACCACAAGGCACCTCTACCCTGCCGGCTGACCAGCACAGCTCATCATTTGAAAATCCTTAAATTCAAAAGCAAACATTCCATTGAGTGATGAGGCATGGGCTATGGCAAACTAGCAAAGGAAGTAAGTACTAGATGTCAGGAGTCCTTCACTTCTCACCCACAGGAATTCAACTCTTGGGTCAGCTTAGTACCTGGTACTCTAATATAACAGAAGAGGCAGTTTCTGAAAACCAACCAATAGCCCAGTGTCCAAGGCATTCACCTGGGTTTTGGGAGACCCTGGTTCAAGTCCTTGTTTCAGATTGGGCAGAGTATGAACATGAATCCAGATTTCTCACATCCTATGTGAGTGCCCTGATCCTTGGGTCATTGACTGGTTTGGGCCTGGTTGGTCTCTCTACTGCCCATCCTGGTTTTTTCCTCAAAAAAACTGCAAAAGTTCTCAGTTTCATCACAGTGCTGAATGGGCAAATCTTCTGAATTCCCAAATATTCACAGGACAGGAAAACTGTTTCCTACCCAGTTCTAATGGATAAAAGTAGAATTTATCAGGCCACTTTAAAAAAAAAAATATCTCTACTAAAATATTTGGGATGGGCTAGAAGTTTGGGATAAAGATTACAGCCAGCTCAAAGAGAATGGAACCTCTTATTTTTGAAGTTAAATAATATGTAAACTTTAAAAAAAATTCTCTCTGCACTTCCTGCTTTTAGGTTGGATAGAAAATACAAATTTTACAAATGTCTATCCTCAGTATTTCTGATTCAGCTGAAACAGGATAGTAATGGAAAACTTATTTGAATGAGAATAGGATTTATTATAACTTGATATATGCATCCAAAATTTCAGATATTTAAACATTTTTTTTAAATGTGATATTAAAAAATTAGACCTGGCCAAAATTCTGATGAAATGAGAAATCTTGGAGGGAGATGGCACTCTTTTCCTATTTGGGGGGCGGGGGTTGTTTTTGTTTTTTAAAACCAGTTGTTATAAATATACTCTTGGTGCAAGTGCCCATTACTAAATAACATCTTTTTTTTATCTCTGTGGGATCACTAGACTTTTCCAGTTAGCTAACTAGATAATACTTACATCAGAAGTTGTTTTCACAGATTGGTCTCTACCACCTCTTAGTTAATTATTTCTTAGAATCTAAACCAGGAAATGTGTAGTTTTTGGTGGGCTTTCTAAGAATGTAATAAAGTGTACATCAGGGAAGAAAAAAATTCTCAAAGTATTTCTCCTATAGATTGTTGGAAACCTCCTATACTATCGCTACATGAACCCGGCCATTGTTGCTCCTGATGGTTTTGATATAATTGACATGACAGCTGGAGGCCAGATACACTCTGACCAGAGGAGGAATTTAGGGTGTGTGGCGAAAGTCCTTCAGCACGCTGCTTCTAACAAACTCTTTGAAGGAGAGAGTGCGCATCTTTCATCTATGAATACTTACCTGTCGCAGACGTATCAGAAGTTCAGGTGTGAAAACCTCATGCAAATGTTTATTCAATGTAAACTGTTTGGGGGTGGATAAGGTAGACCTACTCTATTTACCTAACTATAATTCAATAAATAATCCTTCATATAGAAATCGCTCTGCCTTGTTCTATAATGAAAAATAACGTGCTGTATTTCCAGTTCAGTACTATTGTTTAGCAAGTAATTTTAGTATTGTTCAGCAGTATTCAGTCATCCAAATAGGAAGTTTTAATGCAAAATTAAGTATGTGAGTCTAATGGAGCATTTCATTGTATAACACACACCAATGCTTGCTTTAAGTAAGCAGAACAGCTGATCGTTTTTCTGTCTGGTGGCTGAGATTACGCCTCTGTAAATGGAAACTATTTCCCAGGCAGGAAGAGCTGTTCTTTTTTTTTTTCTTTTTTCCCTTTCTTTCTCTTTTTTTTTAACTTTAGCCATCTCAGCTGAGAGAAACAATTGTAGGAAATGACAATTTAAATATTTTGCTAAAAAGTGTCTCGGGAAAATCCAGACCTTCTGTGTTGCAAGGGAGTTGTTTGAAATTTATGCTCTTTACCTTGTAGCTTTTTTGGGTGGTTATGATCATGGAATTATCACGAGACAGCAGAACATTTCAAATGTACATTAATTATTCCTTTTAGAAGGGTCTCTTCTATATGAAAAAGAAAATATCTTTTTAATGAGGACTACTCTTATAACCTTCATTAGGCAATACATGAGCAAGGATACTAAAGCAGTTTAGTCATTTTATTAATTAATAACAAAAACAAAGAGGCGGAAGACCTGCTCGTTGTGTTTAATTTGGCTCTGAACTTTACAAAAAGAAGAATCCCATATCTCATTAAATTTAACTTTTTGCTGAAAATTGGTGATATGTCTCCAAGGAGGATGCTAACCTGAGAGGGTTAGAATCTGCTCTGTTACGAAGTGTGAGATGAGAGATTTTTCCATTATCTCTGCAATACCTTTCTTAGTTATCAATAAAAATGCTGAGAAACTGATTCCTGCTTCTGAAACACTGGATGGCTTCTGTATGTCTAGATATAGATAGTGGTATAGACATAGTAACACTTTGTGTTAACACCTTTTGTGTATTTTCCCCTAGTATTCTTACACTGTAACAATCCCATAATCTTGCCAGATATCCTTCTATTTTGCACAGTGTTCCTGGGCACCAAACAGTTAAACATTGCAATGGAGCAATGCAGGGACTTTAAATATGTTAAATTTAAACACCTCTGACTGCCCTGTATCATTCAGACAGCCTGTATTAGTGTGCATGAGATTTAATTACTGCTCCTAAACTTTGACAATATTATGAGCTGCTTTCATACAATGAGTGTAACCATTGATGCAAAGCATCTTTCCTTTCTATCTTCTGGAGGATTATTTTTAATCCAGATTCTAGACTAGATCCCTCAGAACATCTTTAAAAATAAATGTTGCCAAATAAATCTTGCTTAGAACTTTGTAGCTGAAAGGGAAAAATCTTATTTTGAAGAAATAAACCTGCTGGTCTCTCTAGGGACAGGTAACATTTAAGCACTCCTATTTACATTGTGACATGCTGCTTACGATTTGTACACTGGCATTCCTATGCAGCTTTAATAGATTGTAGCAGAAATATTCATATAGCTTGCATTGCAAACAAGAAGCTTATTCCAATTCTCTACAGTTAGCTAAAACATGTTTTTCTTATTGTATAATTATTTAACCTATCTTTCTCATCTTACTACTTTCTTAGGAATTTTTTTCAGATAGCATGTGATGTTCCTGAGCCAGAGGAGAAATTCAATATTGATGAGTACTCTGATATGGTAACCCTCAGCAAACCTGTCATATACATCTCCATTGAAGAAATCATCAATACCCATTCAGTAAGTAAATGGAAAGAAACTAGCTAAACAACTACTGTTTAATCTGTTCGTGGGAAATTTCTCAAATCACTTTTTGGGAAATGAGTAATTTTTCCATAAAAATCACAGAATAACTGTGGTGTTCTGTATTGGCTTTCCTAAAATGCCATGAAGGAATTCCTTTACTCTTCCTTTCTGATAGTCTCTTGTCCAAGTAGAAGATCATCTCAATGTCCAAGTGTATGGAATAACCTTAGAACCAAACTTTTCTTAACATTTATTGTAACTTGTACTGTATGGTGCAGGAGAGAATTGCATTTCCACCACATTAGCCCCAATGGGAATGGTAGAGACAACAGTTTGGAAACAAGTGTTAACCAAAATAAGAATCTGACAATAAAATGTAAAGTATTTTTTTCTTTCAGAGCATTTAGCTGAAAAGGAAAAAAATTGCAGAACTTCTTATTGGCATATAGTAGTTATGAACCATTTGTAGTTTATTTGAATTACAAACTTCCTATTGGTAAGAAAGGGGACTTTGACTTTGAGATAAAGTAAAATCTTGTACATTTTATGACTTTGGTATTCCATCATGTGTTTGGCTGGAAGCAGATGCAAGAGTGTGATTTAGAAGGCAGTGGTATCCTGCAAGTATGTTTATTCTGGATAAGGAACAGATGAAATGCAGGAACTGCAGTTCCTAGTGTGATTCACTAGGATATAATTTAGATGTATACCATATGGTCCTTCCACAGCTAGTATACTACCAGTCATCCACTAACGTGCAAAACCCAGAAATGTTAAATCATGGATATTCTTTTAAAAATATGGAATACTTCACTCCCAAGACAGTGAGTTAAAAATTAGCCTTACTCATGCAAGAACTAATGGCTAAACCTACCAGGAAATATAGTGTTTGCTAGATTAAAGACAACTGCTACTTCAAGTTTGAATTGAGGATGTATTTGTTTCATTTCCTATCTGTTTGTTTGTCAACACTTAACTTGTTTCATTTAGGTGTCCAGCATGATATTCAACTCCTGCTATGCTATTGTCAAATTTGTGACTTAGAAGCTGAATCTCAGATGGTGCAAATGATTATGGAGAACCTCTCATTTGTTACTTTGTGTGTAATCTGGTTTAGTGTGTTCTGTACTTCATCAGATTAACTGAACACTTTTGATATAAATTACTTGTCATGCGGTAGAACACTAGTCAAAGGGGACAGTCTTTTCTTCCAAGATTTCATGTAGTTCATATGTGTATGGAGGAAGTAGTTAAGACTTGAAACAAGGCAGCTTTATATCTAAAGATTCTAAATTTCTGTATGTCTTAAACTTGCAATTTCGGTGTACGCATGTATACATGCACAGCATACACTATATAAAATATAATGCCAGGGCACTCATGTAGATGAGACTGAGGGGAAATTTTCAAAAACAAAATGTTAGTTATGCACCAAACTGCCATTTGTGTCTTTGAATGTCTCCCCCAGAATCTTTAATGTGCCTTTGATTTCCCGGATATGAAGTTTTTTAGCTGCCTCTATATTTCAGTGAATACAGCTTTTGATTTGAATAGGCTTTTCACTCTCTAAACTATCAGAGTTCTGAAATCTGTAAATATAGCATATGTTTTACTCCACTTGTATTTAAATTCAATTTAAACTGGTGGCCATGGGCACCATAACCTTAAAACAGACTTCCATAGTAAGAATCCTCTTTATGTGGAAAACAGACCTTGGGAACTAGCAAACACAAACTGTTATCAAACTCTGCACAGTGCCACTTGCTTCCTGAAGTAAATGCTAGTGATAGGTACAGAAACGAGCAGTCTAATTACAGGAAATTCATTCTTCAGGCCCATACCATTCGTGCTTTTTTATAATGCAGCATATACAAGTTTGTTCTCAGAGGCTTTTTATGGACAGCGGAACTATTCCTCCTTGGAGGTGTGCACAGCTGCCATACAAGTTGTATTATTAATAGTTTGTACTTCCTGTTATCTTGGTGCCAAGAAAATCACTGATACTGGCAATAGGAGCATATTGGAAAAGTAGCAAATTGATACCACAGGAGTAGGAAATCCTATATTTAAAAAACATACAGCAATAGACAGCAGCAGCGTGAGCCTCCTCATTCTGCATAGCATGGTGTGAATTAACCCTGCTCTGATGAGGTCACCATTATGAAGAAGACAGTTCAGTCCCCTTGTCCATTAAGGTCCTGATCCAACAAAGCACTTCAGCATATGCTTAAGTGTCTTGCTGATCAGAGGCCTTATTCCTTGGTCTCTGAGACGGTCAAGTGAAGTGCCAATTCTGGTTCTGTTTAGCGGTGATGTTTTGTTAATCGTTTTAAGCAGCTGCTAAATCAGAGCTTTTCCCCATGTGTGTTAATATTTTGAGGACTCACTCCCTTCGGTTTGTGTATATTTGTTTGCATTCTAATATTGATCCAAGGGTGAGCCAACCATCAGACTGGGAAATAGAATTATCAGTCTTGAAACCATGGCCTGTAAGCAAGCACTTTCTTTCCTTCAGTGCTCCATAGTCCTTATTCATGTTGTAAGCCCACTGTGGCTCTGAAGACTTTATTTTGAGCATTCTGTTTGTGAGTCTATTGCACCATTTGGAGAAATGGAGTATTTCAGTGGTTTCACTGATAATCATTTTGTTTGCACTTGTTTATAGCTGCTGTTAGAACACCAGGATGCTCTTGCTCCTGAGAAGAATGACCTACTGAATGAATTGCTGGAGGGGTTAGGGGCTGTTCCTGATGTAGAGTCTTTCCTTGGTAAGTTTTCTCTTTCTCTCTGTCTTTCCCCTTCTCCCCCCCCCCACCCCCTTTGGTCTGTTCATGATAGTAATACAGGGACTGGCCCTAAACTGGTATTTGGGAGGGGGGGTACTTGTTTGGCCTCTTCAGTGTCTACAGAATTTAAGACTTTTTCCTAAAATGATTTTTGCAGCTATTATAACTGAAAAGATATTCTAAAATGAGAATCAAAGGAGAGCTGTCTCCCAGAGTCCACAGTAGCTCTGAGAGGTATGAACTACTCACAATGGGTATTTATTCTGGAGCATAATGATATCATTTAACTCTCCAACATCAATAATTTCAGCAGAAACATCTAGCTCTCTGTAATTGAATAGAGTACTATCACATATTTAAATAACCTGACTGAATGTATGGAAGGGGCTGTGCAAACCCAATTTCCATAAAAGTAGACCGACTTTAATTTTGAGAAGTAGTCCTCTATAGAATAGTGAAACAGGCAAAGGATGTGATACACCAATGAACATACTGGAAAATTTTCTAAAAGCAAATTCAGTCTGATTATTGATAAGAGGCTATGAAGAGAAGTAAGTCAGTAACAATGAGTTTGGATTTGTGCCAGACAAATCAATGATGGATACTATCTTTACATTATGATTGCTAGTGGAAAAATAGAGAAAAGAGGTCTTGAGAAGGCTTAAGAGCATGTTCTGAGAAGTCATATAGTTTAAGAGGATGAAACAGATATCTGAAAGCTATCAGACTCATCCAGGACATGTATGCGGGTGCTGCTACCACAGTTAAAAAGTCATGTGAAGTAATTGAACCATTTCAGTTAAGAGTCAGAGTGCATTGAGATTCTGCACCAAGCCTCTTTTTGTTCACCATGGTGCTTGATGCGGTTACAGAAAACATTCAGAGTGGCATGCTGATGCATGCTTTTTGTAGATGATGTGCTTGTGGGAGAGAGCAGAGGGGAAGTGGAAAATTTAGTGAGTGGAAGTGCATACTTGAAACAAATGGCATGAAAGTCAGCAGAAAGTCTGTAGATTCAATGATAACTTTCAGGAAGGCAATGAGACACTAAGTCTGGGGGGCCAGCCACTAGCAAAGGTATAGAAGTTCCTAGGTTCAATAGTACAGGGTAATGGTGAACTCAGTGACAAAGCAGAATAGGAACGTCATGGACTACATGGAGAGAAGTGAGTGAAGTGATATGCAGTAGGAGTTAGGAGAAACTTTTCTATTTGATAGGCAAAGATCTGTACAGTAATTATTAGGCCTGTACTTTTTGTATAGCTCTGAATGCTCAGCACCAAAGAAGAGATAGGAGCGGATCTTGAATACGATGGAAATTAAAATGTTAAAATTGTTGCTTGAAGTTACAAGGATGGACCATCAGAACAAACACATTAGGGGAAGAGTGACGGTGAGACCAATTATAGGAAAGCTGAGGGAATCCAGGCTTAGATGGTTTGATCACATGAAAAGAAGATCAGAAGAATATACAGGAAACAGGGTGTTCAACTTAAAAATGGAGGATAAGAAAAGGGTTGGGATGCTAGATGGATGGATGCTATATAAAGAGGTTTGATCATCTGTGGAGTTTCCAAGGAACTGCCTCAAGGCAGACTGGAATGGAGAAGGACACAGAGCTGACCCAACAAAGATGGGACTAAGGCTAGAAGAAGATGAATAGAACTATTAATATTAGTGCTGTGATCACACCACCTCTGTTTAGAAAATGTCTAGCATATTTTGGGTGCCTCAGAAACAAGTTCATAATAGGAACACTATCAGTAATGATTACCCTACCACAGTTCTATTTTTATTATTTTAATTTTTTTCCTGATTATGGAAGTTAAATAACTGCACAACTTCTTTGGTAAAGAAACACATCTATTTGAGCCCTATCTGGATAACTGCCTTGAAAGAAAAATCTGATTTAAGGTGGCAAAAATCACAGGTTTTAGTATTTCAAAAATCTTTGCCTAGATATATAGATAGGTAACGTCTATTGGATATTTTCAGAAAATACAAAATACTACAATTTTCCTGTTTCTAAATGGAGGGATGGTATTAATTGTATTTAATTCAAAATTTTTCTTCAGCCATAAAAAAAGTTATTTGTCTAGATATAGTACATGTGGATAGATCTTTGAATAGTTTTCTGTTTCCTTTAACATGTTTCCCAGGATTCTGGTTCATGCTCCAGTTCTTGTCACGTCAGTGAACTGGCAGAATAAGAGCCATATTTTTTCCTACAGGGGAAGGAGCTGTTGATCCCAATGATCCTAACAAGGAAAACACATTGAGTCAGCTTGCAAAGACAGAGATTTCACTCTCTTTGACCAGCAAATATGAGTTACAGGAAGGTGAAGATCAAGATCTCAAAGGGTTGATGATAAAGTACGGGTTTGTTCATTAAATATATATCTTTTGGACAATGTTTTTGTTAAAACAAGCAATACCAGTAATGTAAACTAACTTTATAACTTTATTCAGGTTTGTAACTACTTTAGTGTTCCAATTGGAAATTTAAAAAAACAAGTGTTTTTCAGACTGCATGTCCCGTTTCTTCTGTAATTGGGATCGATGGCATGAAACTATTGTTTAAATTAAAGCTTAAGTTTTGCTCTCTCTGCAATCTCTCAGTATCTATATTTCATGCTCTTTCTTTGTTAGAGAGTGTCTTCTCAGTTTCTGCTAATCTTATCTTTAAAGGGCTTTTTCAAATTGATTGATTTATGCAGAGTTGAACTATAGTTTCAATTGTAAATAATCATAGCTGACTTAGGATGTTTGTTCAATAACTCTTGCACCTTTTAGAATAGACATTAATTATAAAAACTAGCCATCTAGTTGGTGTGTCAATTGAAACTACCCATAAGTCAGTGCTAAGAACAGTTTTTTGCCTCATTCCCATTCAAACATCTCACTAAATATGATTCCTGCAAAACTGGACTTTTGTACATTTGTAGGGCAACCTAGAGAAACTTTCATGCTGCATCTGCTCTATATCTAAATAGTGAATATGAGTTTAGGTAGCTGACAGTCTGCAAGCTGTTATGAATATTAAATCATCACTCTTTAAAAGTATGTTTTATTAATCATATTGGGAGATGGTTTCAAAATGTATATTGATTGTTTGGTGCTTTTGTAAAATAGTAATGCATGTGTATAGTATTCGTGATAACCACAGATATTAACCCACCAGTTTATGTGCATAATTGGACAGTGAGTGTTTACAGGAACTTCTAGTTTGGATTATGTGTTTGTGAAATGACTCCTAGGGCACGCACACTTCTCATAACAGTAGTGCAATGGTGGAAATACACTGCGCTTCTCACAATTGAAAAGATGAGCTGCTAAAATGCTCAGAATCCTCTTACCTACACCAATCTGGGCCAGGGGGACTCATATTCCAATATTCATGCACTAATTAGATATTTTGGGAAATATATGCCCTAACTTATTTCTCTAGAAGTAGCTTCTTTTGGAGTTAGTGAACTGTAGCTTTTTAAAACAAAGATAAAGGTCATGAATGTGTGAAATATGATAAATTTTTATAATCTCTTTAAGAAGTTCTGATTACTAAAGACTTGTTTAAGCTCTGCTTGAACAAGACTAGTTTCTCCATTGCCTTGAGGGAGAGTGTTGCCTAGTGGATAAGGCACAGAGCTGAAGGCCTGGGTTCTAGCCCTAGCTTTACCATTCACATGCTGTGACCTTGGCCAAATCATTTCATCTTTGGCTGTGTCCCATCTCAGCCTGTCTGTTTTTTCTATCTGTTTGTACAGTGCCTAGCACAATGGGGCCCCAAGTTGGTTGCGCACTTCAGTAGCTACTATAATAAATATGTCCACTAAAAATGGGTGCGTTAAAAACTGTCAGTACGAAGTTAGCAGCTGCATTCTATGTTGTATTTTTTAATTTCAATAATCCAATCAGGAGGTTGCAAAGTCATGGATCACTTTTTTTGCCAGACACAACTGTGTCCAAACCAAGACTGAATATGCCACTTGGTGACGTCAGTGACCTAGAATGACTCCCAGACCAACTTCTTTAACGGGAGGACATCACACCTGCCATAGTGACCAGTGACTTCGCCCTCCCTACCAACATCCTTTCTCTTACCTGGTCTAATCCTCAACTAACTCGCTTTCACCAGTTAAATACAAAAGTACTTTATGGTCAATAAAAGCAAAACTCATTAGTTGTAACTGAAACAGAGGAAAGGAAGTAAACTAGCTGTAAAAATAAGTATCTATATTGATCAGCATTAACTCCGTCTTTAGGTGACTGAAGAACATTATTCTTTTAATATTTCCACAACTAAAAATTACATGAAAATTAGAGAAGACTGGATCCCCCAGTCTTATACTTTGAGCTTTATGCTCTTAGATCTGTTCTTATACGTAGCTTAAAACTTATGTACAGTATTATAAAAATTACCGTGTACACCTGGAATTCAGTTTCTTATCCAATGCTGAAAGAGAGCCTGGTTCTCAGAAAGTGCTAATCATTTCTAACTGAACCTTAACTGAGTTGAAGTTAAACTTGCCTCTTGTCCTGTTTCTTTTGTGAAGTATATTGGAATTTCATGAGCATGGAATGTTTAAGTATTTCTAGAAACTAGGTCAAAATCATAGGTCAAAAGAAAACTCATGTTTTTTAAATATCTGATGGACTGGCAGTGTGGGTGTGTAAATGACAGATTTTCTTGTTAATTCTCATACTGACTTGCACATTCCATTTAGTTTAATATACATATATGTTGTTAATTTCCCTTCAGAAACCTAAAGAATCTGAGGAACGTATTGTGGTTTTAAAGCTTATCTGGCATGACACATGAGGGTTTTGTTAATAAGTTTCCAAGGAGGTGTCAGGTTTCCAAAAGTAGAATTAAACTTCCAGTGTATTTTTGTTCAAGAGATGAAAATACACTTACCTCAGCTGACAATTAGCTTTCCTGCCTTAAAAGGAGCATTCATCAAAACATTCTACTGCCATAGAATCGTAGGACTGGAAGAAACCTCGCAAGGTCATCTAGACCAGTTTCCTGCACTCATGGCAGGACTAAGTATTATCTAGACCGTCCTCGACAGGTATTTGTCCCACCTGCTCTTAAAAATCTCCAACAACGGAGATTCCACAAACTCCCTAGGCAATTTATTCCAGTGCTTAACCACCCCAGACAGTCAGGAAGTTTTTCCTGATGTCTAACCTAAACCGCCGTTACTGCAATTTAAGCCCATTGATTCTTGTCTTATCCTCAGAGGTTAACAAGAATAATTTTTCTCCCTCCACCTTGTAACAGCTTTTTATGTACTTGAAAACTGTTATCATGTCCCCTCTGTCTTCTCCTCTCCAGACTAAACAAACCCAATTTTTTCAATCTTCCCTCATAGGTCATCTCTGTTAGACCTTAATCATTTTTTTGCTCTTCTCTAGACTTCCTCCAATTTGTCCACATTTTCCTAAAATGTGGTGCCCAGAATTGGACACAATACTCCAGTTGAGGCCTAATCAGCATGGAGTAGAGCAGAAGAATTACTTCTTGTCTTGTTTACAACACTCCTGCTAATTATATCCCAGAATAATGTTTGCTTTTTTTTGCAACAGTGTTACACAGTTGACTCATATTTAGCTTGTGATCCACTATGACCCCATGATCTCTTTCCGCAGTACTCCTTCCTAGGCAGTCATTTCCCATTTTGTATGTGCGCAACTGATTATTCCTTCTTAAGTGGAGTACTTTCCATTTGTCCTTATTAATTACACCCTATTTTACTTTGGACCATTTCTGCAGTTTGTCCAGATCATTTTGAATTTTAATCCTATCTTCCAAAGCACTTGCATCCCCTCCCAGCTTGGTATCATCTGCAAACTTCATAGGTGTACTCTGCCATTATTTAAATAATTGATGTTGAAATGGTATGCGTCTAGGTATATAACCAGATATACTGTATATGATGAACTGTTCCTAGATATTCTGCAAATTCAATGATGCATCTCTTCTATCAAACTCATTAGAATATTTTAGGTTTATAATATCTTTAGAATATTCAAATTCAAGGAAACCTTTGGGACTTTCGAGTTTAAAAATTGCAAATACATTTCTTCAAAGGACAGTATTCGGTGCTGTCTTGTACCAGTGTTTTGTATGCATATCTTTTTGCATGAAAAAGCAGTACATAAGGAGAACTTCATCCAGGGGTAGTTTTGCCCAATTCTTGTCGCAGGACAGCACCTCTGCTTGTGACTGGGGAGGAAAATGGATATGTTCTGTATACAGCTGTACCCTGTGTGCACCTCATTCTCCTCCTAAACAGCACTTGGAGTCCATTAACTATGGCCCCAGTGCAGAAAAGCATTTGGATTCAGAAAAGAACTTAAGCACATACCCAAGACTCATTGAGTCAATGTTAAGCATGTACTTAAGTCCTTTCCCGAATGAGTCCATAAAATAGTTGTAATACATTTCTGTCTGCTGAAATAAGTTCTAGGAAGATCACCAAAGGTTGGAGAAGGTAGCTACAGAAGGAGACAAATTTGAATTGAGTATAGCTAGGGCAAACTCATTTTGAAATAGCTTCTGCTTCACTGGCATATTGGAGTGAATTCAGGAGCAGTAGCTGGCAGAATGAATCCCTCTGAAGCTATTCGGTGTGTCTGAGCAGTCACATGCAGTAAAGAGAAGCTATGGACAGAGAGAATAGAACATTGCTACCTCGCCTCCTGTAGGTTGAGCAGACTTCCTGCTCCAGCTATGTATGCATCAGAATATGGTAATTTGGTTTACTGACATTTCTGGAGTTATTGCCTTTTTCCTTATGTATGAATTTCTAATACATCAATAAAAAATTGATCCAAACTCAAATGTTTTGTGTCAAGTAAGAATGAAAGTAATAGAATAGAAGACCATAAAATCTTTTCTCACCATTTCTTGCTGGATATAAACGTTTAGTCTTGAAAATGAAGACAGTGGTTTACATAGATAAAAACAGTTATTTGAGGACTTAACATAGAAGTTTCACTGCTTGTACTTCAAAATGATTTTTTTCAAAAACCCTATTGTTACATTTTCTTTGTCTTTGAAGCATGGCATATACTATACATTACTCTTTATCCATTAATCTCTATGTATTACTTATGCTATTAGCTTGTAAAGAGATGTACCTAGTTTGTGTAACAGTGTATTGTGTTGTAGTAGAGCTGTGTAACAGGATGTTCTTGGAATAACTGTGGAATGAAAAGACAGCAGGAATTGTGATAACTTCTTACCCCAACCACCAGTGATGAGCTGCCAAAATATTAACGGGTTCCCTTCTCCTCACCCCATGAGGGGGTCGTGGCTGCCCCCCCGGGACTCCTGCCCCATCCAACACCCCACGTTCCTTGACCCCCCCCGGGACTCCTGCCCCATCCAACACCCCACGTTCCTTGACACCCCCCCCGGACTCCTGCCCCATCCCCCCCTTCCCTGTCCCCCGACTGCCCCCTGCCGCCCCATCCAACCCCTCCTCTCATTCCTGATGGCCCCCCGGAACCCCTGCCCCATCCAACCACCCCTCTCATTCCTGATGGCCCCCCGGAACCCCTGTCCCATCCAACCATCCCTTCTCTCTGTCCCCGACTACTCCTGGAACCCCTACCTCTGACTGCCCCCATCCAAACCCTGCTCCTTCCTGGCTGCTCCCCTGGGACCCTTGCCCCATTCAATCCCCCTATTCCCTGCCCTCTGACCACCCCACCCCTATCCACCCCCCCAAACTACCCTGCCCTCTTCCAACACTCCCTCCCTGCTTCCCGCCCCCTTACCACGCTGCCTGGAGCCGCTCGACCGGGACGAGGGCCAGGCCAGGGGCAGCCGGGCTGGGGCCGGAGCCGGCACCAGCACCGGCGCCGTGGGGCCCAGGGGTGCTCGGCTGGGGATGGGACGGGGGCACTCAGCCGGGACCGGGCTGGGGCTGCTCGGCCAGGACCAGGAGCCAGGCTGGAGGGAGCCGCTCGGCTGGGCTGGGCCAGGCGCACCTCTTCTCCCCCCCCCCCCGCGCCCTAGCTTACCTGCGTGCCTGCTGCTTGTTTCAGGCTTCCCGCGAACATCTGATTCATGGGAAGCAGGGGAGGGGGAGGAGAAGGGGGCGGAGCATTCAGGGGAGGAGGGGGAAGTGAGCTGGAGCCGGGGTGGACAGCTGCTGGAGCTTTTGTTAAATAAAGCCCTTTTAGAACTGGTTGTCTCGGAACAACCGGTTCTAAAAGGGCTTCTAAATTTAACAACCGGTTCCTGCGAACCGGCTCCAGCTCACCACTGCCAACCACAAAAAAACACCACTTTAAATATCAGGACATAACAATTTCCTTTTTGTTTAGAATTTTTTTTTTTCTCGTAAGAAAATGATACATGTTCTCTGCTCCTAGAGATGCCTCTTTCTTTAAGCAGTACACAGTAATAAACATTATTAATTTGTATGTTGTTTCTGAAGTTCAGCAAATGTCTGTTTCTAAATATTCAGTATAAATCCAGGTGGCTCATAAAAGATTTATGCATATGTCAGACTTTGGAAAGATCTGTGTTTCCATCTCTCACTTTCAGTCCTAAGTTAAGTGATACAAATGAACCTGTGCTATCTAGATTCTTATTATAGCATCTGTCACCATGATGATTGAATCTCCCAAATAATAAAGGGAACAGAACCCTATAAACTTTGATACAAAAATATGCACATATCAAAAATCCATTATTTAGTTTAATACTGCTGTTAATAGAAGCTCTGAAATCTAAAATACCTTTGAAAAAATATCAACTCTCTGTGTGTGTGTGTGTGTGTGTGTGTGTGTGTGTGTGTGTGTGTGTGTGTGTGTGTGTGT